ATATATGTACAAGTTGCACTGTACGTGTCGCTGCACTTCCATTCGCAGTTGTCAACTGCCAGCTGCCTTCTGTCGCAGTTTCTGCAACTTTCCAAACATCACTCGAACATGAAGACCAGTCTTGGAGAACCGAGGCACAGGACGCAGCACACCCATCACCTTCTCCTTGCCCCTCTCCTTGGCCATGTCAAATGGGGTCTCGCCTCAGGCCACGCGAAAGCATTGGTCTTTCTGAGGCGGCAAAAGCCAACTTTCAAGTCAATTTAGAACGGTAGGGCATTGGCAGTTCTGGGTTCAGCTTGACGACGGCCAGCGGCGCAAAGCCTTAAAGCATCTTAACACAACACATGTCCCTGTGGGACAGTCTTCAATTTAGCGGTGCAAGGGGTGGTGGGGGCTCATTCTGGAGGCAGACTGAGGACGGTCTGAGACTTACGGCCTTTTTTTTTTCGATCAATTTTCAAAATGATATTCTGCCAATTACCTAATCTGCTATGCGTGGCTTTGATCGTTTGAGTTTAAGTTCAAGTTCTCTTCCGATTGTCTCCCCTAAAAAGCATCTCTTTAAATCCCACTCAGGTCGAACACTTGCAGGATTCAGCAACGGCCCTGACAGTGTTTCATTCATTCAACAAATCATCCTATCTGCAGTGACGGTATACAGTGGCGGTGTCCCTCCGCGTATCTAATCGTTCCCAAGCTGCTTCGTATACTTCCACCGTCGGGGGCTCCTTCTCCTCCCCTCCGAAAGCGGCCGGAAACTCCGTCCATGCCCTCCTCCACGGCTGGGGCGACCCGGCCATCTTTCGTCTGCGCCTCCACGTCGGCGCTGGCCCCCAGGAGGCGCTCGACGACGTCCAGGTGGCCATTGTTGGCCGCCCAGTGCAGGGGCCTCCGACCTCAGACATGACGACTCCACCTGGTGTTCCATTCCCGGGAGAGGGACGGTCTTCAATACGGGGGCTCATTCCGGAGGAAGAGTGGATGTTCGTCTTTTCATGCTTTTGTCTGCCAATCACCACCTCTTCGACGCCTTGATGCTTTGAGTTTAAGTTCAAGTTTCACGCTGAAAATATTCAACTCTCCCTGTCTGCCAATGCTGAAAGCATCCTTCTCCCTAATCAGATCCCCCAAAACACTTCATCTCGGGAATCCCGTTGATCCATGTGGCTTTGTGGGGCAGGTCAAAGCGGACGACCTTCCCCCACATCTCATGGTTTCAGGTTGATGAAAAGCGGTCAAAAAGACACAACGCCTCCGGTATTGCGCATAATCAAGATTTTGGATGCCACAAAGATCCAAGTATACTAGCAGTGCCAGTACACTTTCAAAATTCGTGAGACCAGAGTACTCTAGCAGTCAGTTCTTTTCTCTCATTCGGTTCAAACATCTTGGAGATTTGTTCTTCTGGTGACGACATAAATGACCCAGCTTGCACCATGAAACGCTTCACCCGACCCTCATGACTCGGAGTGAGTTCCTTTGGATCCGGTCGGCGCAGTCTCCGCAGCCTTCGGTCCGCGTCCCGAGCTCCGGGGCTCCCCGGCGGTTCCCATCCACTGCTTCCACCGTGGCTTTCGCGGCCAAGAGCCGCTCGAGGACCTCCACGCGGCCCCTTCCGGCCGCAAGGTGGAGAGGTCTGTGGCCTCGGGACGCGCGTGGAGAGAGGCATTTGAGTGGTCAGAAAGAGGTCGGGAACTGCCGGGTCTTTGTCCCATCTTTTGTTGGAGAATCCTGGGTGAAAGTACAAGTGAAGACCACTGTGAAGACCCTATACTTCGGTACAAACAAACATGAACAGCGCGCTAGCACAGCTGATGCTGACTTCTTTTTGCTGTCGCTCCGGGGCCAGGTGTCGGATGAGCTCTGGGGTAACTTTCGCATTCAACACAAACAGGGATGCGCTGCATTGCTTCTCATGATTCTGGTCGTTGTGGGCTGCCATTGGACGGCTTTCAAACGCATGGCCTTTGGAAGTTTGTCTTTGACGCCAGTATTCTTCTCCCAGTCTGCCAATTGCTGAAAGCATCCGTCTCCCTAAACAGATCCCCCAAAACACTTCATCTCTTGAATCCCGTTGATCCATGGGGCTTTTCGGGGCAGGTCAAAGCGGACGACCTTTCCCCACATCTCATGGTTTCAGGTTGATGAAAAGCGGTCAAAGACACAACGCCTCCGGTATTGCGCATAATCAAGATTTTGGATGCCACAGAGATCCAAGTATACTAGCAGTGCCAGTATACTTTGAAAATTCGCGAGACCAGAGTACTATACCAGTCAGTTCTTTTCTCTCATTCAGTTCAAACATCTTGGAGACTTGTTCTTCTGGTGACGACATAAACGACCCAGCTTGCACCATGAAATGTTTCACTCGACCCTCGTGACTCGAGTGAGTTCCTTTGGATCCGGTCGGCGCTGTCTCCGCAGCCTTCGGGCCGCGTCCCGAGCTCCGGGGCTCCCCGGCCGGACTCAGTCTCTGCCTCCACTGTGGCTTTCGCGGCCAAGAGCCGCTCGAGGACCTCCACGTGGCCCTCATGGGCCGCATAGTGGAGAGGTCTTTGGCCTTCGGGACGCGCGCGGAGAGAGGCATTTGAGTGGTCAAAAAGAGGTCGAGAACTGCCGGGTCTTTGTCCCATCTTTTGTTGGAGAATCCTGGGTGAAAGTACAAGTGAAGACCACTGTGAAGACCCTATGCTTCGGTACAAACAAAAATGATCAGCGCGCTAGCACAGCTAATGCTTACTTCTTTTTACTGTTGCTCTGGGGCCAGGTGTTGGATGAGCTGTGAACTTGCGTGTGGGGTAACTTTCGCATTCAACACAGACAGGGATGCCCTGCATTGTTTCTCGTGATTCTGGTTGCTGTGGGCTGCCATTGGACGGCTTGGACGGCTTTCAAACGTTTGGCCTTTGGAAGTTTATCTTTGTGCTATTTTCTGCCAGTATTCTTCTCCCTGTCTGCCAATGCTGAAAGCATCCTTCTCCCTAAACAGATCCCCCAAAACACTTCATCTCTTGAATCCCGCTGATCCATGTGGCTTTTCGGGGCAGGTCAAAGCGGACGACCTTTCCCCACATCTCATGGTTTCAGGTTGATGAAAAGCGGATAAAAGCGGTCAAAGACACAACGCCTCCGGTAGTGCGCACAATCAGGATTTTGGATGCCACAAAGATCCAAGTACTGCCAGTGCCAGTGCACTTTGAACATTCGTGAGACCCAGAGTACTATAGCAGTCAGTTCTTTTCTCTCATTCAGTTCAAACATCTTGGAGACTTGTTCTTTCTGGTGACGATATAAACGACCCAGCTTGCACCATGAAACGCTTCACCCGACCCTCGTGACTCGGAGTGAGTTCCTTTGGATCCGGTCGGCGCAGTCTCCGCAGCCTTCGGGCCGCGTCCCGAGCTCCGGGGCTCCCCGGCGCTGCCCATCCTCTGCCTCCACCGTGGCTTTCGCGGCCAAGAGCCGCTCGAGGACCTCCACGTGGCCCTTTTCGGCCGCATAGTGGAGAGGTCTTTGGCCTCGGGACGCGTGTGTGGAGAGAGGCATTTGAGTGGTCAAAAAGGTCGAGAACTGCCGGGTCTTTGTCCCATCTTCTCTTGGATAATCCTGGGTGAAAATACCAGTGAAGACCACTGTGAAGACCCTATACTTCGGTACAAACAAAAATGAACAGCGCGCTAGCACAGCTGATGCTGACTTCTTTTTGCTGTCGCTCCGGGGCCAGGTGTCGGATGAGCTCTGAACTTGCTTGTGGGGTAACTTTCGCATTCAACATAGACAGGGATGCGCTGCATTGTTTCTCATGATTCTGGTTGTCATGGGCTGCCATTGGACGGCTTTCACACGTATGGCCTTTGGAAGTTCATCTTTGTGCAATTTTCTGCCACCAATCGGCCAGTATTCTTCTCCCTGTCTGCCAGTGCTGAAAGCATCCTTCTCCCTAAACAGATCCCCCAAAACACTTCATCTCTTGAATCCCGCTGATCCATGTGGCTTTTCGGGGCAGGTCAAAGCGGACGACCTTTCCCCACATCTCATGGTTTCAGGTTGATGAAAAGCGGTCAAAGACACAACGCCTCCTGTATTGCGCACAATCAGGATTTTGGATGCCTCAAAGATCCAAGTATACTCCCAGTGCCAGTACACTTTCAAAATTCGTGAGACCAGAGTACTATAATACCAGTCAGTTCTTTTCTCTCATTCAGTTCAAATATCATGGAGACTTGTTCTTCTGGTGACGATATAGACGACCCAGCTTGCACCATGAAACGCTCGTGACTCGGAGTGAGTCCCTTTGGATCCGGTCGGCGCAGTCTCAGCAGCCTTCGGGCTGCATCCCGCACTCCGGGGCTCCCCGGCCGTACCTATTCTCTGCTTCCACCGTGGCCTTCGCGGCCAAGAGCCGCTCGAGGACCTCCACGGGGCCATGTTGGGCCGCAAGGTGGAGGGGTCTTTGGCCTCGGGATCTGCGCGGAGGCGGAGACAGGCATTTGAGTAGTCAAAAAAAGGTCGAGAACTGCCGGGTCTTCGTCCCATCTTTTGTTGGAGAATCCTGGGTGAAAATATCAGTGAAGACCACTGTGAAGACTATAGTTCGGACAAACAAAAAATGAACAGCGCGCTAGCACAGCTAATGAATACTTCTTTTTGCTGTTGCTCCGGGGCCAGGTGTCGGATGAGCTCTGGGGTAACTTTCGCGTTCAACACAGACAGGG